ATTGCTTGTGTTTCATTTTGTTTTATTCTTGCCACGCCCACACCAGCACAAGTGCAACAAGTACGAGGGCAAACAAAAGAGAAAGCTCGAATCTAGTTTGTGTCACTAGGATACCACGTAATTGAGAGAGAGATAGATAGATAGAGAGAGGCAGAAGATAAATAGTAAAAATAAAAAGTAAATATATTGAATACACTGTTAGATAATAGTGGAATGGAATGATACCTTGATAACAGTACTATCAGTAAATATTTCTTATAAACCATTTAAGACATTAGAATGCTTTAGAATATCATAAATTTAACCAGAGATTTTGATCATCGATGATATTAAAACTTAGCCTCAGTTAGTCTACGATTCTTCACTCTTATTTACTCCTCATTTCCACTACATTTCCAGGGTATATTGAATAGTCTAGTCATATCATAGCATGAAGCGCACATGTGAAAAAAATTGCTGCTGCATGTTGTTCAGCTGCTCCCCCGTTTGACGCTGTCACCTGAGCAAACAAAACAAAACACAACCAACAGCAACTAAACACACACCAGCACACACACGCACACACACGCACACACGCACACCAATGTACAACAAACAGGCAACGCGCAAGGACAATGACAGTCCAAAGGAGCTGAAACCACATAGTGGTTTGCATGCTGCGGTTGCATGCAACATGTTGCAGCTCGAACATGCTGCAATGCGGCCAGGCCGGAGGCAACAAACTGCTGCGACTACGCGCCATATTATCAGCCGCAACGTAAACACAACAAGCGAACAACCAACAACAACAACAATAACAGCAACAGCAACAACAACAGCAACACCAACTACTAAGCAACAGCAACAGCAACAGCAATAGCTGCTATAGCGGCCAACTAAGTATCCATATCCGCAGCTTTGTTGAGTAGATAGAGATACAGATAGACAGAGAGACGACAAGACGGACAGAGGGACCGAGGGGGACGAGGGGGACGAGCGGACGAGCGGACGGACAGACACGCGATGGCAACGCTCGCAAACGTTGCTGGCTGCCAGAGCCTCACCTCTCCTTGGCCCTGGGGCGTTCGCTTGTAATTATAATATTTCAACCCAAATGTTGCCGCCGGCCATGCGCCAATGATGGATTTCAACTCTCTGCCCCGCTCTCTGCTGCCTTTGCCATATAATGTACCATACTACACACACACACACACACACACACATACATTCAGCTGGTTTTGGCCTGGGCTGTGGCATCGAGGTGCGCCTTCTCTGGGGTTCCGGGGTTGCTAGCTGCTGCTGCTGCTGCTGTTGCTGCTGCCGCCGCTGTGCAATTTGTGGCCGCGGGGCAAAACGGATTGGCCGCCGGCCATACATGTGAATAAAATTACATTCACTATTTTATATGCCACATAGGTATCCATACATACATATATACAAAAAATACATATATACATTTATNGGCGCCCACCTCGTCCTTGCACTGCTCGGCCTTCTCAATGAATTTTGCAAGGGCTTCCTTCTCATCAAAGGCTGCAATCAAAGCGGCGCCCAGCAAGGCGACACAGGCCACAGAGTACACAAAACGTTGCATGTTGTTAACTTGGTCAATTAGCAAACTAAACTGTTGTCATTGATGGCTAAATGTTGGGCTTTTATAGCCAAGCGCTGTAGGCTCTCAGCTGTGAAATTATATATTTCAATGCGTTTATAAAACATGACAATACATATATATAAATATATATAGATATATATGTATATTGTGTGTCTCTCTTGTCTTTTATATACAAGTTATTGTCTCTGCCTCAGAGATRTGCTTCTAAATATATATGTATATACATATATAGATGGATATATAGAGCAATTTAACGTGTCGTTCTGGATAAAATAATTGAATTGAGTCTAGATTGGTTCTTCAGCGTCAAATGCCAATAACGAGATTATATCGTAGTACGAATCGTACAGCAACGTGAACAGCGCCAACAAAAACCACAAGCCATAAAAGCTACTCTTCACACGGCGAACTGTATATACCCTAAGATTTATTATGGTAGTCATAATTGGAGTATGAATATGTACAATATGCACTTCAGATAGATCTATAGATATGGAAAACAAATTTTAATTTAGTTTATGCATATATAAATATCCACAGCATAAATAATTTATTGCTATTATTATTAAATTAATATTGTAATCTCTATATAATTTACTCTTATCTGTAAATAAAATAAAAATAAAATATTCTTTATGCCAAAAAGAAAAAGATAATATATATGTATGTATGTATATTCATTAGTTTGTCTGTGAGGTATTAAAATAAACATATTGCCCGCTGGCCATTAGCGAGAGAAATGGGTAAAAGAGGCTGCCACTGACAAGCAAACAAGCTGTGCTCATTCTGATGGGGGCCTCAGCTCCAACTGCTCCAACTGCTAAAGACCCTCGACTAGCCATAGTTCCCAGCTTTCCATCTTGATGTGTATGTATGTATATTTTCAGCTTCCCAGCGCTTGACTCGACGAACATTAATCAGTCAAACAACCAAATTACTTGCGCCGACCTGGCTAATAGAGACGTCGCGACGTGGCCAGTTGTGAGTGCGTCGAATTGATGCAGACTCGAATGAATAAATTGACTAAATGACCAAACGACTGACTGACTGATGATGTCTTCTTTTAGCCAAGATTAAGACGAGCTCAAGTTGTAAATGGAAATTTATTAACATATTTTTTTTTTTTTTTTTTTTTTTTTTTGTATCATTATTACTTTTACTTTTATTTATAGTTTTAATAGCTTTACAGCTTGGCTGGCTTGTGTGTGGGAATTGGGGCTGCCAGACACAAGAAAACCTATTTGTTAGCTTTGCACGGAAACATGGCATAATTTTTCGTACCTCCATTAACCTACTTTAGGTTTTTTTGGCTTAATATTATATTTTGTACAAATTAAATTCAACATCTTGCAAAAATGTGGATGAGCCAAATTTATTTAGTAAGGTCAATGGTAGATTAAGTTGTTCATTATAGTATGTAGAAAATGGTTCTCTCTATCTGAAATTTAAGCAATAATTTTCAGCTGCATTAAAACTAAGAAATATTTCAGGGAAAATTATGCTTTGTAAGGAATTTTTTTTTTTAAGATTTCAATGAAAGTAGTAATTTGTATTGGCTATATACATTTAAAATAAATATAAAAAATCATGTACAAAAAAAAATTAAATAAATAAGAAATGTAAAAAAATGTATATATATCATAAATTTCAAGATTTTTACAGTTTGAGTTGAAGTTTCAGTTGTGTCTCGGCTTAAGTCCAGCATAATCCAACACACGCGCACACATATACATATATCTATATAAGTATAAGTTTTTATACACACTCACACATATATACATATATTTGCATCCTTATGCGACGCCGAGTTTTATGCGTGTGCATCGTTGAAATTAAATTGACATTAATTAAGCTGACACATCCTGCAGCTTCGCCTTGTTGTTGTTGGTGGTGTTGGTGGTGGTGGTTGTGTGGTTGTTGTTGCTGCTGCGTGCACTGCTCAAGTGCTGCTCATTAAACAATTAAGGGATAATTATCAACGGCGTTGCCTTTTTGCAATTTTCATGCGCAAAGTGTTAAAATCACTTAATAGGCCGCCCAGGATACGCACCGACACTGCCCCGACGCCTGCCCCTGTCTCTTCACCCATCCATCATAGCCAGCACATGCTGTGCGCCGACCATATGGCAATAAAGTATTTTCGCCTGAGCAGGTGTGAGTGCCTGTGTATGTGTGTGTGCGTGTTTGTGTGTGTGTTTATGTTGCACGCGGCTGTTTGTTTAATTGTAGCGTTTAACGGGCGAAACTGTAACGGGAGAACAGCGGCAGAGCCTATAGACACATGTATGATATGGCCAGGTAGTTGTCTACCTGTAATATTATGCCAACAACAACAACAGCAGCAGCAGCAGCAACAGCCGCAGCAGCCGCAGCAGCAACAGCAGCATGCCCTATTGTGAACTGGCAGCGAACTCGGCGAAGCATAAGCTCACATTAATGCAGTTATATTCACACTCGCACTCGCACTCACACCCGCACACTCACACATGCACAGCAGCACACACTCAACACTTTGGCAGACACAAACCAAACAGCAGCCAAGAGCTGCCAACAGCAGCACCAACAACAACAACAGCAACAGTAGCCAAAACTGTCGATTCAGTTAGCAGTCGGAGTCAGTCAGTCAGTTAGTAAAGCAATTTGCAGACATGTGCTATACACACACACACACAAACACACTCACACTCACCCACACAGCGTGTGAAGTGCAAAATTCACGCGCTGAAAAATGTTGCAAATGCATTTTAGGCACCTGTCAACGGCCAACAGCAAAAAAGGAAAAAAAAAACTGGGAAAAAGCAAATGAAAAACGCAGAAAAGAAAACCGTGTGAAAAACGTTGCGAGCTTTACAATTAAACAGTAGCCGAAGCCAACTAAAATGTTTAGTGTGGCAAGACGAGTGGCAGGCAGCTCTGCTAAAAGCCGCCACAAACTAGAGGCAAAAACCACTAGAGAAACTTGGCAGAGTTAAATGTAAATAATTATAATTATATTAAGCCATAACTAAACTCTGATATGATTGGACGCTTTCTTAAAAAATTAATATAATGAAGAAAAAGTTTATATGATAAAACTGAAAAATATCTTAAAAATGGATAAATGTAGATAAATATAAGATAAGATAAGAAAATAAATAACAAATGGAGTTCGCTGAGAAGAACAATGAAATATTTACTTTGATAACAACAAATGAAATATTTTTGAAGGATAATTAAGCTAAATGAAAAGTGGATTTTTCTTAAATATATTAAGAATATAAAGGGAATATATATTTTTTGGCAACAAATATATGAAGAGAAAAGCGACTACAAATTAATTTATGAAGCACGAATCAAGGACAACTTTGATCTTAAAAAAAAAAAAAAACATTTCTTGACATTAAATTTTTCTCAAACATTACACAAACACACACACAAATACATTCAAAAAAACGATAATAAATACATACATTTATTAGACTACAAATATGTTAGTATTGTGGCTCCTATCGGTGGTTTTAATCTGTTTGGCGGATCGAGTCGTAGACCCAGAAATGAGATATTTGAGATTACCCGAGAATAAGAGTTGTATATACAATTGTGATGGCGTTATCAAGTGTAGAGGATACACCCCGAAATGTGATTCAATAATCAAACACTACAATTTAGCCACCGATGACAATGATGCGAATAAAGAATTTCGAGAGTTGCTGCTCTTCGGCCACAATGGGCTGCGCAATCGTTTGGCCGCGAAGCTCAATCTCTGCGACATGCTGGAAATCAAGTGGAATAATAAACTGGCTCTCTATGCCAGCCGCCATCATTCGTTCTGCCATAAAAGTATATTGTGTGACTCCGAGCTCGACTCGAATATAAATCTACAGCATTCGCGTTCACGTGACAAGAGGCATAATTCGCACGTGGTTAATATGTCACGAAATAGTTTCTTTTATTCCAACACTTATTCGACGGCCTTTATACCGTTCGCCCTGAGCAACTGGTATGCGGAGCACATTAAGCTGAAGTTCCCCAAGCGCACTGAGGTAAACAATCGAACGTACTATGCACTGGTTGGCCAGTCGAATAGCTTCTACAATATGGTCAATCCGATTATCCAAACAATGGGCTGCTCCATCGCCAAGTGAGTGAGGTGCGGTAGAGTTTTCATATTCGAATCTTAACTGAAATATACTCGACAGGTTCCGAGATGGTCGCAGTCTAATTTGCTACTACTATCCTTTCATTAGTATAAATTCAGAGATTTATTTGCGCATAATGGACAAGTCATATCAGTGCCCGTATACCTATCCTGTATTTGATCCGATATTCAAGAGGATCTGTATCAAGAGATAAGAGATTCACGCAACCAAGTGGATCCACTTAGCCAATCGAGCAAGACTTTGGCTTCTTAAAGAGTTTGACAAATTTGTGTACGCCAGCCGGCGGGGAAACCAGTTAAAAGAAACTACATGCCCTGATTACAAACAAGCTGTCGGGCACGGGGGCTCGGGTTCAGCCCAACAACAACAGTTGATGCACACCTCGGTAGGCTGGTCAGAGTTACATGACCCTTATCATATCTTGCCCTGAATAACCACATCCCAAAGCGCACACTTTCGCCCCAAAGCAAATACTACAAGCTGCCTGGCACGCCAAGAGTTCGACTAAGGAATACCCTGTATATGCTCACACTTATGTCATAGAGCTCAATTTGAATAAACAAATTATATAATTCAAGCTTGGCGAATAATATTATCCTAGAGAAAATATTCCATTTAAGATCGGGGTAGCCCAAGTCTTGCACTAATATGCTTCAGATGTTATTCCTAATAATGGGTATGTTGCAGTCGCATACATTTCACTTTGTGTTTGGAGGCCGCCTTTTGTGGTTGGCTGCTCAGATGATGCTGGTGGTGCTGTTGTGGCTCAGCATCCACTCGGACTCGGACTCGGACTTGGACTCGGACTCGAACTGGGACTGTGGCTGTGACTTTGGCTGTGGCAATGCCTCATAAACGGAGTGGCAGCGGCGCAACTGCCCCGAAGGTGTAAAACTTGTTGGTGTATTAATGTATGCTTGTTGTTGTTGCTGTTGCTGTTGCTGTAGCTGTTGTTATTGTTGTTGCACACTTTTCAAAACTGCCTGTCAATGCGTGACATTTCATATTTAAGTTATAATCTGCATGCATTACTTTTTGGATCGCCAGGCGACCGATACACACACACACACACTCACACACACAGGCACATCAGACCCAGGGAGACAGCTAGTGAGAGGGAGAGGGGGAGAGAAAGGTAGCGGGGCCAAACATGTATAAATTTAATGGTATACAAAATTAACTGGAGGCTAATTTTCAATAAAACTGACAGCTATGTAAAATGAGGAAAGCTCACACACACAGAGAGAGACTCAGACATATGTGTGTGTGTGTGTGTGTTGTGGCAGGGTATGTGTGTTCTTTTGTGCTTGACATGCAGTAAATTGAAATGAAAACGAGTAAAATACAAAAACAAACATGCACACACACACACACACACACACACGTACAGAAGCAAATGAACAAATAATATTATGTACTTATGTGTCTATAGATGTCCGCCTTATAAATTAAACAAAAACTTAATAAATAGCTAGAAGCAATTAAGTTGCAATTAATAACGGCTTATGCTAGCTCCCACTCTCTAACTCTCTCTCTCCCACACTGTTGCTCTCTCTGTCGCTCTCCCTATCTATCTCGCTCGCTGTTTGTCCTTTGTCTCGAGYCAGCCAGCCAACCCACGCACAACTGTTGTGCGCCATGTTTGGCTCTCCCTCTCTCCCTCTCGCTCGCACGTATTCGCTTACTCAAACTGCAGTCCATCAGTTGGCATCAAACATGCTGCTCCGCACATCAAACCAGTTTCAAGTCTTATCACTGCAAACGCATCTAAATTATCACGAATGCCGGCAGCAGCAGCAGAAGCAGCAGCAGCAGCGCAGCTGAGCCAGAGCAGAGCAGAGCGAATAGAGCTCACACATATGTAAACACAACGAAGTTGTCTCCATGCCATGCCTCTCTCTCTGTCGCTCTCTCTCACTCTCTGACGACCAGCCTGCCTGCTGTGCACGAACATGTTGCGAGCAAGCGAGCCTGCGGCTATATTCAAACTGGCTGCAGCTCGAGCGCTCAGCTCGGTTTGGTTTGGCCTGGTCTGGTCTGGTCTGATTTGGGTCTCCTGCTGCCGCCTGCTGCCGCCTGCTGCTGCCTGCTGCCTGGCATCTCTGCTTGCCCCTTGTTACTCCTGCTGCTGCTCCTTGGCCGCGGGCTATTCGCTTGTAATTATAATATTTCATCCCAAAAGTAGCTGCCGGGCATCAGCGTCAGTTTCGTTTGCGGCTTGTTGCAGGCTGAGGAGCAGAGACCGACAGCGGCGCAGGAGGCAGCAGGCGGCAGGCGGCAGGCAGCAGGAGATGGAGGGCAGAACTCTGCGAAACGGAACGGCGCAACAATGCAGCCAACAATGATGAATTTTTGAACTTGGCGTGTGGGTTACTCTCCGTACAGTAATGCCTGCCACATAAACGCCAAAGCCAGAACAGAGACTTACGCTGCTGCTGCTCCTGCTGCTGCTGCTGTTGTCCTCAAGCGCTACCTGTACCTGGGCTTCTTTCTCCATTCTTTGGCTGTTTACATAGAAATGCGGCCCAAATTAAATATGCCGCACAATAAGCCCAACTTGTTATTTATGGCCAATAAATTAGCCATCAGAAACGGCGCTCGAAGGCGGCCGCCCAAAAATGTTGCTGACACTTTGCAAATGCAATTCCGAATGGTATTAGGTGCAATCCGAGCGCTTGACATGTGCTACCTGACACAACGAGCTGGCCGCACCGCACACTAGGGGAAGGGGAGGAGGGGACGTTCGGCAATGCTGCAATAGCTTATGATAAATTGAGCCTCTCGCCGGCAGCCAAAATCATTTTCGTATAGCCAAAAATATTGCTGATGCCACAACGGCTGCAACAGCAACTGCTGCTGCTGCTGCGGCTGCTGCTCTTGCTGCTGCTGCTTGAATGAATGTGTCTGTAGATTTCGTAGCAGCTCGAATTACCGTATCGTTAGCGGCGACATTTAATTAAAATTTTCTTTTGGGCAAAACATCGTGGCGCATATCTAGTTTCGCACATTTGGTTTTGTGCTTTTAAGCCGTTGGTTTTGGCCAACTTTTGGCTCGCAACGCGTTTATCTGACGGCAATTTAGTGGCTTGAAGATAACTCGCACTGCACTTAATACCAACTCAGGGAAATGGCCATTAAAACGACACTTAATGACCAAATGGCAATTGTTATGCGTTGTTATTTGTTGCCAACATCGTGTTGGTGTTGCTGTTGCCACTGCTGTTGTTGCTGCTGTTGCTGGTGTTGCTGTTATCAGTAGTCGCTGCTCATACATAATTGCATAGCTGTATGAAAAGCAGCCAACAATAGCTGCAACAACATCTGCCATTGTCGCATTGTGCGCTGTGTGCCAATAATATTCCACATACGCCGCATTGGCAACAACAACAACAACGCAAATAACAGCAACAATTGCAGCTAGAGCAGCAGCAACAACTCCAGCGACAACCGCAACGTTTAATTTCCCGTTTGCCACATTGCTGTAGCACAGCGCGTTGTTGCTTTTGTTCAGCCTAACGCCGCATTGAAATGCTTTTCCTGCCACGCCCCGCCCGCCCACAAAGCGCCCCTCTGCCGACCGCCTAACCACGAATCTAAAGCAAACGGATAAGCGGAAGCTATGCCGGCGTTTCCGTGCACCATTCTTTGCCAAGATGCTGCGTCCTAAGCTGTGAGGCAACTCTAAAGCTGATGGACGACGCGCTACCCTGTATTGTGAGACAGAAAATCAGAGCGAGCTGTATGATATATTGCATATTTATCGAGTGATAAATATTTAGAAGAGACTTGCTTTGTAAATGAGTATAACAAGGGAGCCTGCTTAGAAAACAGTGTTAGAAAGTTCTTAAAATGAGTATCTTATTTATAGCTGCTAAAATTAGTTGTCCAGACTAGACGTAGGTTTTGATAGGGAATTGCACTGAGTTCTCAAATAAATAAAAGTGAAGCGAAGCTGAAATTTTGTAGTAGTTTAACTAACGTTATACAATACTATTTCACTTTAGTCTATATTAAATTTCCCTCCACATTTCTTTAATGTACAGGGAAAACTCATTAAGAAAATGTTTGATAAGTTCCAAATAGTTATGGAAAATTTCTATTTTGAGTAAATTTAAACCATTTCTTCCCATATACAAAATCCATTTCCAACACTGATATACCCCATATGCAAAACTGTTTCATGCTCATTCCGAACTCAATGTGCTTAACTTTCGCAGAGTTGAACTTAAGTTGAATCCGTTTACGCCATTCCAGGGAGTTTTGTTGCGGTTGCCAGTTGATATATAGAGGTATGCGAAATATGAAATGCATTATCAACTTTTCTATATTCCATGCAATTATGCGCTTCATTGAACAAGCGCAGAGGCGAGCGCAAAAGCAAATGACGGGCGCACGTTTAGACACAATTTAATTAACAGTCAGACACACACACACATACGCAAAAACAAACGCTCACTCTCTCTCTCTCTCTATCTGTGTATGTGTGTGCATTGAATTTGAAAGTGGCATTCATGCAGAAATTATGCAACTGTCAGTTGCACAACAAAATCAAATTGTTTGTTATCTCTCCCTCTCTCTCTCTCTCTCTCTCTGTGTCTGTGTGTGTTAAATAATTGCCTCACTCTGATTGACTATAGAGATATTTGCTCTCTATAAATAACTGTATAGAATATAGTTGTATTTGTTTGTATTTAGCATTATTTTGGCAATTTTAAAGTCAATTAAAGCCAAGCGAGAAAAGAAAGCAAGCGACTCAAAGTCAAAGTAGAAGTCAGTCAGCTGCAGCTCTTGTTGTTGCTGTTGTTGCTGTTGTTGCTGTTGTTGCTGTTGTTGCTGTTGTAGCCGTGTTGCCTGCGGCACGCACATTTCAGCCTCAAATAGCTGCCAGCAATGGCAAAGCAATGGCTAAGCAGCAGCAGCAGCAGCAACTAAAAAAGGAAGCAGCAACAGCAACAACAACAAGAACAACAACAACAAGTGCATTTAGTTGCGCCGCACGAAATGGCCGCCAGCTACAAAGAGAATAGTCGCACACACACACACTCACACACACAAAAGCTGGCTATATACAAAGGCTTATGTATAGACTCCCGCCAGCCCACTCGTTCGCCCTTGCAGGCTTGAAGGAGTTGCGGATGCTGGCAACGGGCGTTGACTGTACGGCGAAAAAGCGTCGCTGCGTGAAAAACTCGACTCGACTCGGCTCGCCGGAGGGGCACAAACGGAGCAGCGATGCCGTACGCTTCGGTTTGCTAATGTTGCCTCAGGACCTTACCGCTTTGATGAGCGAGGACAGAGGACAAGCGGCGGCGGGACGGCGGGACGGCGGAGCGGCAAGGACAATGTGGCAGGAGACGAGATCGCATAAGGCAATGTCCATAGAAGGGCATCTCTCGAGGGGTGTGCGTATGAGTGTGTGTGTGTGTAGGTGTATATATGTATATGTGTGTGTGTGAGCGGTTAGTGGGTACTGCAAATGGCCTGCGGTTTTGCGCCTGCGCAGCTCGAAAGGTAACAACAACAACCACAACAACAGCAGCAACAGCAACGTTATAAAAAGCCAACGGCCATGTGGCAACATTTCAATCTCCGCTCAGTTATTTGCCAACTAAATCCCCAAAAGGGACAAATTGTATAATTTCTACAGTTTGGCAAACCTAATATATATATATATAAATGCATTATATTCTATATATATATATTAGGTTTGCCAAACTGTAGAAATTATACAATTTGTCCCTTTTGGGGATTTAGTTGGCAAATAACTGAGCGGAGATTGAAATGTTGCCACATGGCCGTTGGCTTTTTATAACGTTGCTGTTGCTGCTGTTGTTGTGGTTGTTGTTGTTACCTNTGAAACACTATCAACAGGACTGAGAGCTCTACGATGTTAAACTTAATAGACCTAAAAGTATTTCACGGCCTTGGAAATATACGTATTTTTTATATTTTTATATAATTTCTGACAACAAATGCAACACAGACTACTACAGCATTATTAAACAGCCGAAACTCTAAAAAAAAAAAACTCTGAAAAGAAAGAAAAAAGTTGATCTAGTACACTAGGTTTTTAGTTGAATTGCTTTATAGCCCTTCAAAGCATATTACCAATTCATTCATTCCCCAAAACATTCAAGCAACATTGCTTACTATCAGTCAATACTTATTTTTTTTAATATTTTTATTTTTTATTTTGTTTTTAAATCTTGACAAATTATTATGTGGTCTAAGGCACAGTGAGTATCGCCTACAGAGGCAGTAAAATAGACCATTTATAAATTCGTTCATAGAATACATAACAAACTCGCTCCCGCTTCACCGGAGATCATCGAGATTTACAGAAACAAAGGCTTTGAGGATACTTCGTAAGCATTAATGCACATTGTATTACTTGGATATAATCTAATGTAAGTACACAGCTTGGACACGGTACGTGCGGCTCGGTCTGTGACAGTAACGTCAGCTGGCGAACTAACGGTAAAAGACATTGGCATCCCAAGGGGCCGTGTCATAAGAGCTGAGCTTCGGCTGCCTGATCTGCAGGAACGATGCGAAGGCTCAAACAACAACCAGTTGTTCAAGTTATCAAAAATATTGGCCGACAATGAATACTATCAGGGAAGACAAGTGGAGGACTCGAACCACATGGAGGGCAACATGGCAAGAGGGCAAAATGTAAATCCATGGAATAGAACCGTACAGGTACAGGTACCTAAAAAGTATTTCAGGGCTAACGAGCCAGTTGATAAACCACGTATGGAAACGGTGTCAGTGAAGCCTTTTAAATTGTCCTCTGACATATCATCGATTCTACAGAAAAAATCCCAGAAGAGCAGAGAATTTATGAATACTGATATGAATACTGATGAATCGGATTCTTCCGGTTTTGAGGTTCTCGAAAATCGACGCAGAATCGAACCGGTCAATCGCCCTATAGTAGAGGTGAGCACCGCTCTTATGGGCACTGTAAAGAGTTTACAGTATGTTAATCACGTAAACAGTTCAACTGTTCATAATCGACACATCGCTTCTAATTGACTCTACGAGGATCGTATTCATTTTTGTTTTTAACTTTCAGAAACGAAATAAGCAAACACAGGTGAAAATGGTAGCCAAACAGTCTGTAGCCCGTCCAAAGCGATTGAAAGACGAAGGACGGTACGCCCGTGCCATAAAAATGTGCCATAAAGTTATTCATATAATGAACTTTAAGGGTAAGAATCATTTCACAAATATATCAATTTGAACTTAGATCAGTATCCCTCTCTCGATATTACAGATAACTGGCCAGTTTATATAGTGATCATGTGTCTGTGCACCATAGCCTATCTCATATATAAGGTGCATATTGATCTTATGAATTATGGCAGCAGTGAACGATTGTATGCGAAAAAGATGAGCACTTCCAGTAAGTTAATGAAAATTCTTAACTTTTTCATCCGTTGGCTGCACAAACACGAATGATCCAAGGCTCTGATCTAATTTCAAATTTAGTTCTTTTCGGTTCAACAGACCAATAAAATTTTAGTTAAACTTTACGGCTATATTCATTGTAAAATATTTATAAATGGATAAGTGCGCATATTGCATGTTTTTAGCATAAGTGTGCAAATCAAAATGCACTCGAACGCGCTCACACGCGGTCCCAGTCCAATATGGGCCCAATATTGGGCCCGAACCGCCCAATCGCTGGACCACCGCTTGACCAAATGAAAAACAAACAATTCGCTTTTGTTGTTATTCCAAATAACACGAAAAACCTGCACTAGGAACAACACGGCCAACACTAACGATAACAAAAACAACGATAATAAAAACTAAACCGAAAATAAAGCGAAATTGTAAAGTGTTAAAAATAATAAATTATTTCTGTTATTCTAAATGGTATTAGAGAGCCGGGCCATGCATAAATTTAAACCGCACGAGTGTTAGAAAAATATTGTGGCTATCGCAATTTTGACCACCAAATTGAAATTCGAATGCCAATGCAAACAGTTGTCAAAGGGCAAACAAAATTCCAAATATCCACTTCTATATATGCACACAGCATCAGAACTTTGTCAAAGGCCCTCATTATAAATATGCATATAGAAAATGAATTTATACATATCGAAAATTCTGGTTGCAGACCAAATGCACTTAGTTTTCCTATTCCATAAATTAAAAATATTTTGTCAATTGTTATTTAAAATTTCTCTTTATAAAAGTCTGACATATGCTTATATTACTGAATACGGTTAGATATATTCGAAGAATGGGACCAAGCTAAAGATTTGTATAAAGTTTCCTCTCTTTAAATATTTAACTATATAGACTTATCACTTACCTGACAATTCTTGTGCTTATTTTATTATTTAAGACCCCTCGACTCATCAAAAAAATCCTTTCAAATAATTAAATTTGATTCTGCGCCCATCGGGATTTGGTATTAAAATTTGATTTATTTGTATGAATTAAGTTTTTGGCTTTCAGTTAATTAACATCATTCTTTGATGTACCAGGGAGGCATACAAATTATGCAAAATACACGCCCCGCCGCCCGCTTTTATCCTCCACTCGTTGGGACAGGAGCTTAGCGACAAATAGATGTATCATAGCTAGCAGCAAGCTAATCCTTTAGCCTCGAGCCTTGCACAGTTTATACCACTGTGTATGTGTGTGCGTGTGTGTGTGTGTGTATGTATGGCACAATTTATATAATTTGAACCTATTTGAGGTGATGGCCTGATGGGGTGCCATAAATCAAGGTTACTTTCACATTGGCCATAAATACGGGCAGGCCAGCGATAGGCAAGAGCCGAAGAGCCCCAAAACCAAACCCGCTCGAGCCCCTCGAGACGCGCCAAACGGCGGCCAACATCGAACTTGTTCGTGCAGTTTTTGGCTTTGGCCTTAACTTTAGCTTCAGTTTCAGCCACAGCTCCAGCTTTGACTGTGACTAGGGCGTGCGTGTCTAAGTGTGTGTGTATGTATTGTTATCACAACAACAGCATCTAAATTATCATGGCCAAAAGGCAAACGCAGCTACAGCTACAGCTACAGTTACAGCAGCAACAGCTTACAACGTAAACACAACACGACGAACAATGCGACGCGCAGACGCCAAACACGAAACATTTTTTACTAATAAATCGCCGCCAGGGAATTTCCCATTGCTCTGTTCCTCTTCGTAATACATATTTCACATGAAATGCAGCCGATGGCTAGATGAAGACTATATATAAAAAAATATATAYATACATACATATACGAGAAAAAGAGAGGATATGAGAGAATCTTACCCAGAGCAATTGAAACGTTACAAAAGTTGACTCAAATGAAAAGTCTTTGTTTCTAATTTCCTCAGCTACAACTTTTTATGATGCATTTAGCTGAAATGCATATATTTAAATATAACTAAAAAGGGTTTTTTTTTTGTGGTCAGGTATTTTTTTATTACAAGAGCAGGATTTTTGCCTTCATTAATCCACACTATTATTTCGAGTGCATAAATTTAAGAGAATATACACTTAATACATGTATGCTTATATGTGTGCCTTCCGAGAACAGATTTCTGCATACACACGCATTGTATAAGAGAGATCATTAGGGCAGACGCGCTCACACTAAATGCTCTCATAATATCCCTCCTACTTTTGTCCGCCATTTAAAATATTCGCTCACTATCTGGAATGTTAACGGGATCAAAAGCATTGCTGCCATTGAGTGAGTATTTAAATACCCATGCCCTCTAACACATACTAGAAGCGACTGCCTGCAGTTCTAATATACATACATAATACATCTGTATTAAAAGCTTCATCCCAACTTACTGTTCTCTCTCTTTCTCTCTCACACTTTCTCCCATAGAAGCACATTAAGCAAATAAATTGGCAAAACAAAATTAATTGTTGTCACAATTTTATTAGAGTGCTTTTTTGAAAATTCAAAGTTTTGCCTTCCTCATTTTCGTGCTGTTAAATAATTCTCGAGCTTCATTTCGGAGCATTTTTCCATTGAAGTTAATTGGAAGTTTATCCACGAAACAAACGCCTGCATGCAGCTGTTTATATTGCACTGAAATTCGCTTAGCGACATAGTCTATGACCTGTTTTTCACTTAGAAGACTCTGTGGCTTTCGAACAATCAGGGCTCCAGCAGCATCGCCATATAAAGGATCCTTCATACCAACCACACATACCTCCTGCACGTCTGGCAACTCGATGATGATCTTTTCGATCTCGTTGGGCGTGTAATGCATTGATTGGTATTTAAGCAAATCCTTTTTGCGATCCACCATATAGAGGCGATTTTCCTTATCGAAATAGCCCATGTCGCCCATGTGGAACCAACCCTGGGAATCGAGTGTCTGAGCTGTTTGCACAGGATTGCCATAGTATCCATTCCACTTTTGATTCGTCTTGATCAATATTTCGCCCACTTCATCATGTGCCAGTGGAACTCCCGCGTCGTTAACGATCTGAGCATGAACGCCTGGCAGCAGACTCCCTACCAAGTTCTCCGTTTCTGGATTTAGGCAAGCCGATATTCCGTCCGTTTCCGTTGTCCCATACGCATACACAAAAATGGTTGATTCGATGATGCGCCGAGCGGCCTGCACCACACCAGCTGACACCCAACCCCCGCTGTACTGGACGAACTGCAGACTGGAGAGATTCTCTGCAGTGGCCAGGGGACTGCTGAAGAGCGCATTGAACTGCCAGTGGGAGACATACAGGTAGGTCACCTGCCATTTCTTTACGATCTCCACAAGCAACTCCACGCTGAAGGGCTGGCTACAAATCACCCGATCCGCTTCGTTTACTGTACTGCTCAAAAGACTCTTTATAGCGGAGAGCCAATCGTAACTAGCTGTCGTGTATACAACATCATTTAAGCCACTCACTCTGGAAGAGAAGTAGCCTACATAGGTATATAGGTATAGTAGATATAGTAGCATATACTCACGGCGATATTAACAGTAGTTGGGAGTTGGTTATGGTCACAGCCTTGGGCAGCCCGGAGGTGCCCGAGGAACAGACAATAGCCATGGTTTGGTCGGCGCCATGCACCAACTTTGTGGGTCTACGAAATAAATAGGAATACTTTTCTATTATATTATTATTATAGCTCTATTTCATTTTGCAACTCACTCATAATTATTTTCATTGATTGCCGTGGCCAATATCTCTTCTATCCCAGTCGCATTCTCTATATGCTCGCTCAGTGTTATCAACTGAGCCGTCCAGTCCTTGGTGATCAATTTCAAAAATTCGTAATCTCTGCCATCACAAAATATAATCTTTGGCTTTGTTATCGCATATAACGACGCTATAGCTTCCCTTTCCAGCATGGGATTGACAGCATGAAAGGGCGTGGCATTGAATAGGCATGCAAATAGAACGTGAGCAACATGTGTGGTATTCCTAGCTATAAGTCCAACTACATCCCGATGCGTTAGTCCTTCCGATTTCAAATACCGCGCTATGCTCACAGTCGCTGTCAAAGCATCCGCATTGGTGAGTATTTTGCCATCATCATGGACGATCTATAAAAGAAATATCATAAAACTGACTTGGGATTTCATTGATTTTTCATATGACGCTACCTGGAATTTATTGTTTGGCTTCTCTTTAAGCACTTCATATATGACTTTGCCTATAGATATTTGTGGATCTGTGAATAAGGTGTTTTCAGGTCCGCTCCAAATTTTTTGCTCTTCATTGTAGAACGTTTCCATCAACGACATTTTGATCAACTTTGTTTGTCAAAGTTTGCGAAGTAACTAAATGGAAAGAGACCAAAGATCTGTTCTATATATATGTCGAAGTTTAGTAATCTATAAGATTAAAATTTTTGCCATAGATAAGATTATGATTGCGCTTGAAATGGAAACAACAAAACTATTTAGCTTTAACTGCAATTACTTTAATGGGTTCGATTAACAGCTATATTAATAATGTGTTTAATCAATATGTTAAAGATCATTCAAGTTCTTAACTTAATTCCAAATATTCTAAGTAAAACGGGGCAGGTCAACTGTACAAAAGGTTGCCTCTCTATACGCAGACGCAGAGCGTTTTATGTGCTCGAAGGGCTCAATTGAACTTCAGGGCATTCCCATACAAACACACACACACACACACGCATACAGAGAGACAGGGAGAGATGTATACTAATACACCCACAAGCTGCTAAATACACACACATATGAAATGTGGGAACTTTTTGGCTCTTAATCAGTTTGCCTTCAAGACAAACCGCATCGCACACAACAAACATACACACACACACACACTGATAAATTGAAACCTATCTTTGGTATTTTGTTTTTCTTTGAAGCAACAATGCGCCAACAATGGCCCCGCGGCTATCCTTAGTACGGACTACGACGCTCATTTATTTCACAGTCGTGGACAAGATAATCGCCAATGTCCGCTTAGAGGTAGACGACGACGACGACGACGACGACGTCGACGGCAATGGAGACGACGAAAATAGTTAGGCCCAATACGAGATGTTATGGGAGTATGTATATATGTATATATATGTATGTATAGTTATACATATATACGTATATATGGAGTGCAGTCAGAGATGTAGCTCCGCTCATTTGGTTTAGCTTTAGGAAATGTATTTCAATAATTTTCACACGAAAATCAGTTGAATGAAGTTGTTTTTCGACATCTCGTTTTCTACTTCTCTCTCTTTAAGTCATTTATTTGTCTGTATGAATGTGTGTGTGTGTCTGTGAGTCTTTTAAGTCTTAATTTGCGAAGAGGCAATCGGAAAAATGAGCCATCAGTCAGAGAACTCAACTAGCTTTGCAGTTTTCCAGCTCGGTAGCCGGCAGTGGAAGTCACATGTTGCAACTGGCTTACACACGCACAACCCATCAACACTCACACACACACACACACCCACACAAACGTAGACTCAGACACACATGCACTATGTTGGGTTAAGAGCGGAACTGTCACAGTTACCTCGTCTCAGTCCTGCCTTGGTCGCCGTCGCCGTCGTCGTCGTCGTCGCCGTCGCCGTCTCCTTCTCCGTTGCCGTCTCCGCATCCGTCTCCAGCCACAGCTTCATTTGGGTATCAGAGTCAGCAGCGTTGGCAGCGTTGGCATCGTTGTCATGGGCAACCCACGTTGGGCGCTGCTTTGGGCACCTCTGGGGCCTGTTTCGCTTGTAATTATAATATTCCAGCCAACCCAAAATGTTGCCCCAGGCCGGCAGCAGCGGCAGCCGCACCACCACCACCACCATCAGTGGAGGCAGGAAGATGAAGCGGCGTCATCGTCGTCGTCGTCGTCGTCGACGCTGGGACGCAGCCACATGAAACTCTTGTTGTAGATCTCATTGTTGTTGTTGCTGTTGTTGTTGTTGTTGCTGTAGAACGTAGCTGTGCCGCATGCAACACGATGTCGCCGCAGGACTTTGCGGATGACCTCGAGCGCCACAAATGCTGATTACGTAGACGCTCCCTTCTCCATTTCCGTCCAAGCAAATGATAAACTATACGAATGTGCTATACCCTTTCCTAAAGGCTGTTAAGAATTGTAAATAAAAAAGATATAAATATTATTATCCATATTATACAATATATAATAGTTTACATAAAAGTGAAGTGAAGAGAAGTATACATACATATGTCTCTAAACATGTATGTATATATCTATATATACGGTAATACATGTTATGATTATTCCCGCATATACGTGTATGTATTTAAATATTATATATATTTTTGTATATATGCTTGCATATGCATTTTCACGACTATCTGTGTGTATATGTCTGTAAGTACTCATATACATATGTATGTACGAGTATTTGTATGTCTATGTATATTTATATCAGACTAGTAGTAGTAGTCCATGCAACATACATGCTGAGCATCACATCACATCACTCACTCAGTGCTCGGCTGGCTCTCTCGGTGTCTTCGTATAACTCTTATAAAATCGAGCTTCGAACAAATACTCATCGCTTCGTTTGGAGTGACATTGTGACAGCTATATAAAGGGAAGTCAGTAGAAGTGCTCGATCAGTTGAATTCCAGTCTAGCTACAGGGCAGATGCAGCGCTGTGTGAAGTGTCCTTCGGTTGTCTTATATTTTATCAATTCTTCTTTAATTATTATTATTATTATTAAGGATACTATTTAATATTAACATTTTGTATATAGTTATAAATAAATAAAATTAATAATTACTTTTGTAAGAATTTGTATCATTATGATTATGACGAGGCTGATGATAATTTTGTAAATGATGATAATGATTACCATAATAACAAATATAAGATTATTAATGCTGATTATGAGCTTGTTCATGCTATAATAATAATGCTGATAAGGATGCCAATGCATATATCATAACTATATTCACATTTAACTAATTATCAGCTAATGCCTTATAGCATAGGATTTGTACAATTATTATAGACAATATCAGGCAGTCCGCGATTTCGATTAGTTAGTTTTGGATTATGGCATAAGCAGCGTAGTCGTTGACATCGCCAGCTGTCTCGATTACAAAGCAGAACGCGCTGATATAATGCCCCATGGGCGCCTAGGATAGGTGTAGGAGTTGTATGGAATTTGAGCAAAACTTTTTTGTTGTTGTTGTGATGCCCGCCAGCTGCCTTTGTTGTTGTTGTTGTTGTTGTTGTTGTCGCTGTTGTCGTTGTCTCTTTCGTATTTGCTCTGCCAATCTCTACACATAGGTGCAAACGTGTGTGTGAGAGAGTGTGCGAGACTGTGTGTGTGCGAGTGTGGGCATTTGGGGTCGGCCTGTGCGTGTCCATGTGGCGTGGCTGGCTACCCGGCTGGCTGGCTGGATAGCTGGATAGCTGGGTTGCCCATTTACATAGCTTGAGGTATTTCAATTTATTTCATTGTGCTTTTCATATTATTGTATTTGCAATTTTGATTGCAGTTGCCTTTTGACCACTGGCAACATAGACGAGAGCGAGAGAATCTCGATTCCATTTTCAGCCATATGCAAAAATATCGATAGTAGCCCCAGCCACGCCCCGGCCGCCCGCCCCCCATTCGTTTGACTGACAGCGGTTGAAGCCAAATGCAATCAGCGTTGCGATGGATTATTGCATTTTAATTGCAATCCATAACTGTGGGTGGTTCGATTTCGTATGGAGCGCAGAGAATTAGGTGAGAATTTATGCAAAAGCTCGCTTAAAACAATATTTTTCTAAAGATTTTATTAAATAGCAATTGGCATTAAATAAATAAACATAAGAAATAAATGTTTACTCTCCCCCTCTTGCTCTTACTCCCTCTCTCTGTCACTCTTCATTCACAGCAAATGTTGAGGCCCCGAGGCGAAATATGTATTTTTCCTTGAATTATCACATTTTAGTCGAGCCGAGTAATAAATTATGAATATGGGCAATGGGCAATGGGCAAACAAATAAACTGATAAAACTGACAATCAACAGTCTCAAGATTTGAGAAGAACTGAACTGTCAGTTAAAGGATTAATTACATTTCTTGGCCATGTTCAAAGCGAAATCGTTGATTGTTCGCTTTTAACATGCATTTCGGAAGGCCTGCAGCCAGTTCGTCAAAATGGAAAACTCTCTGCATTTTCCTGAGTTGCATTTATTTCCAATTAAAGGGCATTTTCGGCCAATGACAGGCAGCTACGACTTTATTACGAGTTGCACATGAATTGCAATGGAAATGCAATCGAAACCCGAAGCAAAGCACAACAAAAGAAATACAATATGATGCTCTGCTTCATTAGTAAATCTCAGTCAGTGTCCAGCATAAATGTCGTGTTCAATTTTGACCAACAGAATTCATAATCTTTCATTTTTCTATCTCTCTCTCTCTCTTTCTCGCCCTTTTAAATGCTTCTTGTCCATCAACAGCAGCAGTGAAAATAAACTGGAAATGGGCATGGTTAACGGAAAAATTTCCTATGAAAAATTTGTGAGAGTTATGCAGAAAAGATTCTCACTACAGAGTGATCCATATACAACATTTAGAGTTTATTTTCTATTAAAGTTAAACATAAAAAGCTACTTGAATATTATAACCCTTTTCGATATTTAATATATTANCATTAGGAAACTTAATATGAACAGGGTATAAAAACAATAAGCAAAATAGTAACAAGCTGTGCCTCACAATATTTTTAGACAATAGCAATTAGAACACAAAATGTTAGACAGCAACAAAAAAAAAAAAAAAAAAACCAAAATTTTCTAGGAATATTTTTCATGCAGTTTTGTGAAAAATGAGAACACTCAACTTCATTTTTGGCATAGTCGAAAAATATTCTAGAATTTCTTTGCTTGCAATACAAAAATCATTCTGTGAACTGATAAATTAGTTTGGTCAAATTTCAATGGAAGCATGCTCTTAACAGTGTAGTAAAGCACTTAATAATACCYTCACTTGAAATTAAAAATTATTAAAAGTTTTTTTTTAGTTAGTTAGCTAAAAGTATTAATATTTGCATTAGTGTTGGCATTAAGTATCTGTTATAGTATTATTATGATTATCATTATTACTGACATTATTGTTTATTTTCATTTTAAATTAAATACCTTACACTAAAAACTCAAATTCATTTTGTTTATTTATCTAAATCCTTTATTATTCCATTAAATGCATATACCTAAAAATTTTATATTTCTCTCATTTCGATTTTAAAGTAAAAGATAACCTACCTTAAATATATGGCAATTAATATCCTATACAATTTATTGTTCTTACAA